CTTCCCCATTGCCATGTTCCTAATTCACATGAGAGGCACTCTCGTTGCTGCCCAGACCTCCCCTCAGAGCACCATGGGGTGGTCCAGGTGTCTGAGGCATTGCTGTGCCTTCCAGGTCTGGCTGGGGAAGACAGTGACACCTGAAAAGGGGAATGAGCCCACTCTGGGGCGGGAGGGTTGAAGGAAGGAGAACGCACCTTGGACTGGATTGTCAGAGGAGGCTCAGTTGGCCAGGCGGGGCTGGGGGTTGTGAGCGTGACTTGCAAGCTCTGTCGACCTCACCTTTGTGCCCCAGGCTGACCTGGGTGAGAATTCTGGCTGAAAGCTCTCTAAGCCTGTTTTTTCATCAGGAAAGTAGAGAATATTGCGGTCTCACAGGAGAATAGATGAACTAATGCAGGTAAGGTGCCTAACATGGTGTCAGAGGCACAGTAGGTGTTGTTGCCCTTCTTTCATGAGTACCACAGGTCCTCCTGATGCCCAGGTATACCCTGGGTATAGCCCTTCCTGCCCCGGGTTTCCCTGAGAAAGGGTACATATAATACTCTTACCTTGGATTTTAAAGGACAATAATCTTATCTTAGTTAAGAAAATTTTTTTTAGAGATACGATCTCACTTGTCACCCAGACTAGAGTGCAGTGGCACATCGCAGCCTGGATCTCCTGGGCTCAAGCAATCCTCCCGCCTCTGCCTCCCAAATAGCTGGAACTACAGCTGCATGCCACTGCACCTGACCTTTAGTTCTTTAATACTCACAACAACACTGTAAAGTCATCAAGTGTCCTGGAATTACATGTAATAATACCAACTTCATTGAGGAAAACTTGTTATAGTAGAAATAACATTGGACTAAGAAGCAGAAGGCTTGGCTTTTTCATGATAACTGCACCAATGATGATTATTTTATGCCTGGTGCCTTTGCTAAGCACTGTTCATAGACTATCTCATTTAACCTCACAGCAGCCCCGTTTCACTGACAAGCAGGCTGAGGCACAGGGAGGGTAGCTGCTTGCTTCAGGCCACATGGCCACTAAGTTTGCTCTTACCCACCACGTGCAGTGTCTCCTGGGTGCTCAGTTAAAAACATTTTTTTTAACTAAGGTAAGCTGCCAAGTGCATGTATGTTTCATGGAATTTTCATGACAACCCATTTCACAGATGAAGAGGCTAGAGGCTCAGGAAGAGTAAATAATTGCCTGAGGTCACTCAACTGATAAAGGACAAAATGGATTCTGCCCTGATTTGACACCAAAGGCTGTGTTTGTCTCCCCCAGTTTGACTGCCTTGCTTCTGGCCCCTGCTGGAGGGGTAGCTGAGGCACCATAGTGTGAAAGAGAATCATAGTCAAAGAAAATAGAAATAGTAGCTGGGAAGATATGTAAAGTTGGGGTATGAGGTCTAGGGAGGTTTGATAAATTGGGTTGCATCTGGGAGAACTGGGAGGAGCATGGTGCAAAGAAGGGGCTCAGAACTAACCCTGGGAATGGCTGGGAGGTGGTAGCAAGCCTGCTTTTGTGCCATGCCAGCTGCATGGTGCCAATGCTGACTGACAGCTTGCAGGGTTTTGCAGGGCTGGGCACCTACGTTGCATCGTTATTTGGACCATGTAATCGTGAGCAGAATTTATGATTAAACTAATTCAGCGGTGAAGTTGTGTCACACTCTTCACCATCTTTTATACTTGGTGACCCCTCCAGTCATTGAAGACCCACCACCTTGGTTGGATTCTCAGAGCTTCCTCGCTTGGCTGGCTGGGGCTTGGCCGGCGATCTGTGGCCATCTGCTCATGCTGCAAAGCTCTTTGTTGCTTTTGGCATGTTTAATAGCTTAATTTCTATTTTTCTGTTTGGAAATGCAGTTCACCAGCACTGAGGCTGCAGTGGGTGCTAAAATGGTTTCTGATTGCTATCTTGAATGTTAATATCCGAATACATTTTATCATGAATGACCTGTCCTCCCTGCCACGAGTTCTCACTCCCCTTTTGCAAAGATGGGCATGGTGCCTGCCTTTGGATAGGCCCCGAAGCCCATCTCATTCCTTTGCTGTCTCCCTGCCTGCTTTACACAGATAGCATTGTACTTTGCCAATAAAGTCCACAGTCGTGGGAAATCTTTGAGTTGGAGGATATGAGAAAGAGTTTCATTTTGCCGGCAGGGTTTAATAGGGATGATCTAATCTCTAAAAGGCATACAGTATTTAAATTCCATGCTTTTGGGCAAGAGGGCCCCTGATATTTTTGAACTTTGGCAGGGAGAAGATTCTGGTTTGGCTCTATTCAATAGAGCCGACTGTTGGTTTTCCTGTTTGTCATTCGCTACAGGGGCTGGTGAGGGTCAGCACTAGTGGTGAGAATTCTGGAGAACATTTTCTTTTCCCAGAAACTTAAAATCATGGACTCTTGGGGAGAAAGGAATGAGAAAGGCAGCATGCGGAATTACCAATTTGGTATTTGGTTCCCATCTGGATTTAAAACCGAAGATCCCAAACTCAGGTGAGCAGCTCCCCTGGGGTGCCCAAGGGGCAGCGCAGGCCTGCTCGTGGCACTCCCTCACTCCTGTGCTGATGGAATACCTCAGGTATCACCAGTGGCCTCTCCCATGAGGCACTGAAGAGTCTTGTGGACGAAAATAAAATTTTGAGGGAAACCTTAAGCTCTCCTAACTGTTGGAGGCTGAGTCAGGAAACAAGATGGGGCTCTGGAGTGGCTCTGGGAGCCTCCTGGATTGTGTGTAGGGTGAGACGTTGGGAGAGTTTAGAGAACATCGTTCCAGCTGGTTGCTTTGTCTCACAGGGACATGTGGGGCTCATGGTATAGCCGCCTCATCTTTCCTCTCCCCTTGTTCAAATGTCATTTTAGTAGAGATCACATGCCTGCCTTTCTTCCTGGGGATGGAGCCTTGGGAAGGTGAATGATCCCAGAAGACTCTGGAAGTTCTGAACACAGAGCCTTTTCCCACCTCCACGAGTGTGTGCTGGGTGTTTCCTAAGAGACAGTGAGCTAAGAACTAGGGATGCGAATCTGGTTATCATACTTTCTGTCTAGCAGGACGGAGAGGTAGATGGACAAAGTATTACAGCTTCATAGGAGCTGTATTAGTCAGGTGTCTCTAGAGGGACAGAACTAATAGGATATATGTATATATGTATATATGTATATATGAAGGGGAGTTTATTAGAATTGACTCACACGATCACAAGGTGAAGTCCCACAATAGGCCGTCTGCAAGCTGAGGAGCAAGGAAGCCAGTCCGCGTCCGAAAACCTCAAAAGTAGGGAAGCCGACAATGTAGCCTTCAGTCTGTGGCTGAAGGCCCAAGAGCCCCTGGTAAATCACTGGTGAAAGTCCAAGAATCCAAAAGCTGAAAAACTTGGGGTCTGTTTGAGGGCCGAAAGCATTCAGCACAGGAGAAAGATGAAGGCTAGAAAACTCAGCAAGTCTAGTCTTTCAAACTTCTTCTGCCTGCTTTATTCTAGCCATGCTGGCAGGTGATTAGATGGTGCCCATCCAGATTGAGGATGGATCTGCCTCTCCCAGTCCACTGGCTCAAATATTAATCTCCTTTGGCAGCAGCCTCACAGACACACCCAGGAACAATGCTTTGCATCCTTCAGTCCAATCAAGTTGACACTCAATATTAACCATCACAGGAGCCATGAGTAAGATGTGTCTGGTGTATTGTGGGAACACAGATGAGGGGCTAATTAATTCTGACTGGGCATATCTGGATAGATTTCAGAGAGGAGGTGATAATTGACCTTGACTTTGAAGGAGGAGGAGATATCCACTAGACTGACTCTTCTGAAGTAATTCTTGCTAAATGCGTGCCTGCTCTTTGCTGGGGACAGTGAAAAAGGAAAAGGAGGGGGATAGTGGTTCCTGCCCTCAAGATATTCACAGCTTGTTGGGGAGAGAGCCTGGCACTATGAACCAATGAAAGCTCTGTGTAGACAGATGGGATTGTGGAGGCGGAGAGGCTAGCAGGGGGACTTGGTGATCCAGAGTTTCCAGAGTTACTACTCTCTCTTATAGAGAGAACACAGTTTCTGTAAGGATAGTTCAGTCCTTTCCGTAGATGTCTTTAACTACAAGAGGCCTAGCCCTCTGGCTTTTGTCTTACCTGATTATTTCACCACCTTGCCTCTGTATATTATAAGTAGTTAGCTGGATTTGAGGTGGAGAGGGAGGAAGTGAGGGTGCCTGTGCTGTTTCTTATGCCTTGCATACCTTCCCTTCCCTCTTCCCTTCCCTCTTCTACACTGATGTCAGGCTCCTCAGATGCTTTATCAGTTGTTTTCCGTCCTTTATCATTAAGCTAGGTTCAGCATTGTTCTCCATTTTTTAACTCCGTAATGAGATGATAAATGCCGTAAAAGCAGGAATAGTGTCTTAATGCTTCTCATATTTCCCCTGGGAGCAGTTTGTGTGGTATAAAGAATATGGATTTCTCAAGACAGGCTTGGCATTGAATCTCAGCATTGTCACTTACCTTGGAATTTGGGCACAATTTCCATATCTGTAAAATAGGATTACATAGGACTTTTTCAACCTCGACATCATTGATGACATTTGGGGCTGAATGATTCCTTGCTGCGAGGGGTCATCTTGTGCACTGTAGAACGTTTAACAGCATCTCTGGCTTCCACCCACTAGCTGCCAGGAGCAGCACTGTCTCTCTCCAATCGTGACAAAACTGCCTCCAGATGTTTGCCAAGTGTCCCCTGTGGAGCAAAATTGCCCCCAGTTGAGAACCACTGGGATGGTGCTACCTTTGGAGTATGCATCAGACCTCCCAGGTCTGCATCTGGAACACAGTAGGCATTCAGTAAATGTTGATTCTCTTTCATTCCTAATTCACCTAGCACTCAACACATTGTAGGTAGGTGAATTACATGGAGCTGTGTCTCTAGGTTTTAGCAGTTTGGGGTAGAAATGTTGTAGAACTCTCAGGTTGTCCACACGATGCACTAACAGAGTCACTGTCATTTTCTTAATTGCAGATTGATCTGGAGCCAGAAGGAAGAGTGTATGTGATCATCGATCTCTCAGGGTCGTCGGGTGAAGGTAGGAGAGTGTGACCTCTCATCCCTGTTCTCTTCCACTGGCCCTTTGCCTTCTGGGTCTCTTCTTTCCCTCCTTGGCCAGGACACATTATAGTGACATTTAATTAATTGGCATCCTTTAAAGGAAAAGGTTATTTTGAAGATGCTTACGCCTGTGTACCAAAAGGGATCAGCCATCTGTTAACTTTGGTGGAGCAGAGGGAAGATTTTGGACTTACCACGTGAGGCCAATAAAACGGGCGTTTTTGCATGCTGTGTGCAAGGCAGGCTTCAGCGGCGGGGCAGCCTCTCCCAGGAGGCTTGCGTGGGGTTTGTGTGTGTGTGGTGGGAAGGAAGTAAAACTAGTTGGTCTAACGGCATCCACAAATGAAACAAATAAGGTGACAAACTTCAGAATCTTCTTTAGAGCTTCGATAGAAGTGGGACTTCTTTTACCAGTTCTTTACACAGGCAAAAGCTCTGCTCTTAAAGAGAAATAATGGGGGGTGGGGGAACATCTGCTCCCCACTGACTGATTCGATGACGTATTACACCCTCTTCCTCTTACACCTTCTTCTTTCAATCCTTTCTTTGCTCACTTAATACACTTAAGACCTTTGAAGCACTTGCTGGGTGTTGAGGACTGAGCAGTCAAGGGAAGAAGGGAAGCCTAGAAAATAAAACCTTATCCAAATGGGAACAAGGAGATATAACCGACTTATGCTCTAAGAAAGATTTGGAATTCAGACTGAAATGTAGTTATTGTGGCCATCTTTTCTCTACTGCTCCTCCATCTGTGGGCAGGGGGACAGAACAGTTGGCTTTAATGCCATGGCAGGGATATTGGAAGACAATGTGTAGTTCCTCTTGGCAGTGAGAAACAAGCCGTGTTTGGGGACTGTGTCCCAAAGGGAAAGATGGACACTCAGCTCTCTCAGCTCTCCTGCCTGGAACACTTGGGCCTCTCACAACATCTCCCCAGAATACTGGGGATCACAAGCTCAAAGTCACAATCCCACACACTGTAGTTTAAAGCTCAGTGATAGAAGGCAGGATTATATATTCAGTTAGTCAAATGATGTGCTTAACAGTGGTGCCTGATGATTTCCATTCGGCTAATTTATCACCCAATCTCAACAGGTATTCGGAAGAATTCAATAATTGTGTATATATGGGGATTATAATAGAATTAAGCCCTCTTTTAATAGATCTCAATTATTTGGCATAGATTTAAAACTTTAAACAGCCTTCCAAAATTGGTTGCTTACATTTCCTGCTCTTTATTGCAATTACATTTTGGCATTTCCAACTTCCCTTCTCTGCTCTCAGCTCTGAATCGCCCAGAATAGAACCTGTTGTAGAAGATTTGAGGATTTAACAATATTTCATATGAAATATTTAAGAACTACAAAAGGGCTTAAAGACAAATTAAATGAGCACCAGTGTGCCCACCACCCCACTTAAGAATTAGAGCAAGCAGTGAGGTGAAGCCTTGTCCTTTGCTTTTAACATAGCAAGTGATCCAAATTCACCAGACTCGACTTAAGGTTTTGCAGTGTGGCCTCCTGATTCTAGACACTGGCGAAACATTTGATGGGCAAAATCAATCCCCTTTTTTCCTTACATAATCTGTGTGCAATATGATAATTAATTAAATATGTATTTCCTGTGCCAAGATGCTGAGCAACCAATGGGAGGCTGGGACTATTTTCTCTTTCTTTGAAAAGATAAATGACTTGCAAAATTATAGAAGACATCCTTTTTTACATTAGAGGGAAAGGAGATGGACAAATGAATGAATAAATAAATCAGAAGCAATTGATTTTTTTCTGCTTGCTTCCACAGCTTATTGCATGTGAATAGCCAAAGCAATTTCCATTGGGCTAAATTCTGAGTCTATTTTTTAAATCTCTTTCATCTAAAGAAAATAGAGTTTACTTCAGAAATGCTGACACATGCCAGAGTCTGTAAAGTGCTAGCATGTGTTGCTCTGAAGAAAAGAAGACATTTTTCTAGTCTTTTTTTTTTTTTTTTTTAATTACTGTTCTTGGACTTGGGATCCTTTCTTTAGATGGTGGGTAGGACCTTCAGTAATCCGTTCTGAGAAGCTGCTCTTGTTGTTTGTGTTATACATGTCTGTTCTCCCGTCCTGTTCCTGGGACTGTGAGGGCTCCTAGCCTGGAGGGGGTTTTGGAAGAGTTGGGAGGGCAAGGGGAGGCCCTAGAGAATGAGAAACCATGACATTTCATACCTAAACCATGTGAGATGGGTCTGGGGTGAAGCAAGTTGTCACAGCCACCCTCCTGGATTGACAGACTGTAGACTTTCACAGATTCTTGTCTAAGTATTTTTTTTTTTTTAGTGAAAATACCTAACTCTGCAGTCTGTGAAAGGGAAAGAGTTGAAATGAGGCACAGCTGAAGTTTCACCACTCCATTATTCTGCCATCAAGCATCCCTTCAGCTCTCATCTCTCAAATGCTGCAGCCCCATCAATGGAAAAAAATACATTCATGGGAATTGCACAAAGTTTACAACACATGCAAATTCCAAGGAACTCAGAGAGAGGTGTGGGGGTGAGATGGTGTGACTACACCCCCTTCTTCTAGGATGCGCTGAAGGATTCTTTTCCTTGCTCACATGCTGTTAGAAAGCTTGGGCGTTTACGTCTGCTAGAGCTGGAGCTAATGTGATTTCTAACTGTCTAATAAAATTCCACTGCTTGCATGTCCTGTGCAGTTCACTATAATGGAATCTGACCAGTGTGTGTTTTGGCTAAACCAGGCATCCTAACCCCAGATGCAAGGGGGTCAGGCTGGATGACAGTTAAGGTCATTTCCGGCCATGTGATTTTATCCTTTGGTACAATTTGAATAGACATCTGTCAGAGCTCTGGACTGAGGGCTGGCTAATATGTACAGAAAAAAGGAGTTGCAAGAAATGGACTCGTTTCGACAGGTATGGTGCTAGGCACTTTACCTACATTATACCAAGTAGCAAACCTGCTCAAAATGCTCTTATGGGAAGCTCCAGTCTCAGTCCGTGTTTTACTTACATCGCAAGTAATAATCACAGGGGTTCTGGTAAGCATGGCACGCCAGGCTCTCCAGATGCTTAAATCAAAGCATAATTAGCCCAGGTAACAGAAGCGTAAGACAGCAATGTAATTCTCACCTGTGCAAATGATGGTTTCCTGCTGTGCCCATTTGTTAGTATTTCTTCCTTTGATATGATGTAATTTGCATATTATTTCTTATTCTTTTTAATAATATGGCAATGTCCCACGATTCACAGGCTTGCAGATGAGAGATGGTCGGGACCTGACCTGGGGAGTGATAGGTTCTTCTTCCCATGCCTTGCATCCAGGTGTCATGCTCACCTGGGAGAGTTCTTCAGCATCTAAACCAACAATAGCAATGACAAGTACACCTCGTTGGTATGTTTGGACCACCAAACTGTTTCTCCAACAAAATACAGAGGATACAAAGGAATAGGAATGATTTTTGCCACACATACATCACACATCATGCAGAAAAGTCAAGTTCTGGAGGGATTGCACATTGTGGAAGCAGAAGAGCACAGAACAGGAGGCACCCTGTATCTTTCTGCAGCCACAGGCTGGAAGTGCTCAGTCTCCTCTGTGGGACTCAACAGATAAAGGAGAAAGAGCACAGCCTTAGGAGCCCCGCAGACTTGGATTGAAATCCTGGCTCTAGTGTTTAGTAGCTTAGAGTCTCAGATTTCTCACCTACAACACAGGGATAATGGTACCTATGGTAGGTGCTAGGCCAGGATTGTCATAAGAACAGTGCTTTAGTACAGTGCCCTTGCATGTAAGAGATGCTCAGTAAATACCATGAAGCCTTGGAGACCTGAGGGCAGAGAGGTTGGCATAGCTCTACCCAGTGCCCATGAAGGAGCATCAGGCAGGATATTCAGGGAAACTGTTCGAGGGCAGGTTTCTGACGCTGGGGTGGGACATGTTCACAAGGGCCAAGAACAGAGCAAGGTACCAAAGAGGACTTAACAGAGTAATCTATCTGGCAGGGACTGTGAGACTGCTTTCTGCAGAGTTCAGGCCTTACCTCGGTTTTGCCTATTGTCACTCTATTTATTCCTCATCCTCTCCCAAGTAAAGTAATTCCTGGAAGGACATTCTCTAGCATCCCTGAGCCACTCATTTGCATTCCATGGCCCTTAATGCTAGAGGCTTCTCCTTGTCAGAGCCTGGGTTTGTCCCATCCCTGCTTAGTGTGGACCAGAACATGTGGTCCACATCTTCTCACCAGCACCTGGGTAAAAGGCCTTTAAACATTTGAAGACAGTTATTCAATATCTCTTTTTTCAGGCTGAATCAATCAAATCCCTTAACCTTTCAGAAGGGATATTTTAGAAATCTTAACTCATCTTTGCAACCTCTTCTGGACTTTTTTCAAGTTGCACAGACAGACGTGATCAAACCAGCTTTGCTTGGTTCTGAAATAATAACATGTGTGTAGAGCTCTTAGCTTTA